CTGTCTCAAAAATAAATAAATAAAATAAAATAAAATAAATAAATAAATAAATAAATAAATAAAATAAAATAAAATAAAATAAAATAAAATGTCTGTTTCATAAGGGGAAAAGCTTCCTGCTAATCGGAGCTGTTGTAGTTTGCCTGGACGGGTTCATTGGGTAGGTAGCTTCTTGCTGCAGACAGAGGCACAGCCTGGGTGTCTCCGCAGGAATGTTGCGAGAGGTTCCAAGTACATGTTCAAGAATCAGGCTGAGTTTACTGATTTACTAATTCAACAAATATTAATTCTACATGCTTCAGTTACAGAATCCTGTAAGTAAGTGTAGAATTGATGACCAGAGGCTTAGATGAAAAGGGATTTGTTTTTTCTACCTGAGAATCTGGGGGTAGGTGATTGCTGGTGTTATTGTACTGGGTCAATAGTGCAAGGTTCAGAATCTCTCTGATTCCTTTGCCTGTGGTGCCCGAGATGGCCGCACAATGCCCACGATAGCTGCAGATGTCACACTCGCGTTTGTGATCATGAACCTGCTGCTGAGAAAAAGACAGCATCTGCTGTGTCTTTTCCTTTTCCAAGAGAGCAAAAACTTCCCTTGAAAGCAGGGGAGGGCTGGCATTTTGGGGGAGAAGGGGACGAGGGAAGGTCCTCATTTTTAGCCATTGCCAATTTCTGTGTAAATTCTCCCACTATGTCTGATTTCAAGCTATCACCATGACATTGCTGATTATGGAGCTGGGAAGAGAAGTCAGCGGCACACCATGATTTAGGATTTCTGCCTCCTGATGTGGTCCATGCAAATCTTTAAGAACACAGGTAAGAGTGAAATAATCAGGACATAATGCATTTTGATGATTTATTATCTTTGTTTTATATATTTACATATAATTATATAAAATTAATGCATATAATTATAATGTATAAATATACAACTATAATACAGAAATGTATTATTTATTTATATAATACATTTTTAATCTATGTATTTATATACAAATATAGAATACATTAACTGTATATTTATAGAAAAATACATGCTATATTATTACATATTTATTAATATATAAAGTATGCTTCTTTCTTTCTGAGACAGGGCCTCACTCTGTCACCCAGGCTGGAGTACAGTGTCACTATCACAGCTCATTGCAGCCTTGAACAGATGGGCTCAAGTGATCCTCCTACCTCAGCCCCGAGTGGCTAGGACTGCAGGCGCACACCACCACACCTAGCTAATTTTAAAATTTTTTGTAGAGACAGGGTCTTGCTTTTTTGTTCAAGACCTAAGCTGGTCTTGAACTCCCAGGCTCAAGCGATCTTCCTGCCCTTCCTGATCTTCCTGCCTCAGCCTTCCAATGTGTTGGGATCACAGGCATGAGCCACTGCACCTGGTCTACTACATTTTTTAATTTGTGAGTTTATATAATTTAATATTTTAAAGTACTGAATATGTTGAACAACTAACTTGCAGAATTCCTGAACAATGGACCCTCATGATCTGGCTTAAATCGTCCCAGCACACCACGGCTAGAAACCTTTCAGCCAACTTCCACTTATGTCTCCCTGGCTAGGACAAAGTCGCTTGGCTACTCCCCACTAAGAGGGATTCTGGAAAGGCAAGAAACTATTCTGTTTTCTATAATGGAACGTACCGGGGAGAAGGCAGCCGGGAGGGCCCGCTGGTTCCTCCAACCAGCAGCATGCACCACCGACCAGCTGTGCTGGAACTGCACCGTACTGGTCAGTTATGAGCAAGAGTTTCCACTTCTCTTCTCGTGGGGCCTTCACACTAGTGGCAAGAGACAACTTTTTCTTTCTTTCTTTTTTTTTTTTTTTTTTTTTGAGATGGAGTTTTGTTCTTGTCACCCAGGCTGGAGTGCAATGGTGTGATCTTGGCTCCCTGCAACCACCACCTCCCGCAGTTCAAGCAATTCTCCTGCCTCAGCCTTCCAAGTAGCTGGAATTACAGGCTAGCACCACCACACCCAGCTAATTTTTGTATTTTTAGTAGAGATGGAGTTTCACCATGTTGGCCAGGCTGGTCTCGAACTCCTGACCTCAGGTGATCTGCCCACCTCAGCCTCCCAAAGTGCTGGGATTGCAGGCGTGAACCACTGCGCCCAGCCAAGAGGCAGATGTTAAATAGGTAAGTATAACTGTGGTGAACGCAAGAAAGAAGGAAGTGAGTGAAGGGAAGGGACCTAAGTTATTGTCTTATATTCTAACACTTTCGTAGGCAATAACTAAACTCTTAGAAGCCTAAGATAACACGCACATTCAACCCAATTTTGGCAAGTTAGGAGCTGAGCACATTTTAAGGGTCTCACCCTAAGCAGCTGGGCTGCAACCTCACCTGAGGCTCCACCAGGGAAGAATCCATTTCCAGGTCCATGGAGGTTACTGGCAGAATTCATTTCCTTGGACCCGCTTGGCAAGGGCCCAGCTTTTTGCTTCCTTGCCTACAGGACCCCTCCAAAGGTGTCTCTCTCCTGCAGAGCTTGCACGTGGAACCCCTCTCTCTAGTCTGCAGCGGTGATGTGCCCTTGAAAGTGACAACCCATTGCTTTCGCCAGGCTCTGTGGGTTAGAAACCAGTCACCAGTTCTGCTTGTACCCAAGGTCAGGAAGATTATACAAGGGCAGAGGTCATCGGTCACAGGGGGGTGGGGAGGGGGTCAGTCCCTTTAGGGTGTGGCTGCCACCACTGAACTTGTCAAGACTTTAAGGGTTGGTAGGAGCTGGCCAAGTACAGGGCGGAGGGTGTGTCAGGCTGGGGTGAAGGCAAGGAGGGAGACTGTCCTTTCCCTCCCTGATCCTTTGTTCTTCTGATCCCTGAGTACATTGCAGAACACAGTGGGGCCCTAGCTGGGGAGAGATAGGGAAGTAGCTGATGTTCATGGGAGATCTTGTTAGGGAAATCAGATCAGAGGCCAGGCTTTCAGTGGTGGGTGCGAGTGTGCATGTGAGTGAGGGTGCAGGTGTGCGTGGGAAGGGACAAGGGGATGGGGTCTGCCCCAGCGACCATCAACATCTTCCCTGTGCTTCCACCCTCCCAGCAGCATCCCTAAGTGAGTGCCTTCAGGGCGCAGGTCCTGTTTTGCACACAGAAGTCCATCAGAGTGGGACACTGCCTTGCCTTAGGGAAGTCACACTTCATTTATTTATTTTATTTTTAAATTTGAGACAGAGTCTCTCTGTTGCCCGGGCTAAAGTGCAGTGGCTTGACCCAGGCTGACTGCAACCTCCGCCTTCCAGCTTCAAGCAATTCTCTTGCCTCAGTTTCCTGGGTGGCTGGGATTACAGGCGCACGCCACCATGCCCAGCTACTTGTATTTTAGTTTCGCCGTACTGGTCAGGCTCGTCTCAGACTGCTGGCCTGGAGCAATCTGTCCGCCTCAGCCTCCCAAAGTCTCGGATTACAGCCTGAGCCACCGCCTGGGAAAAAAGGTCACACTTCATGGGCAAGGGGTCACACGTCATGCTGAGTGGGAGGCAGCCACTCGGACAGCACCTCAGCTAGCGCTAGGAGTGAGGGGTGTGGGAAGAAGGACTGGAGGAGGATTTGAGATTTTCACCTGAGCAGCTGGGTGAATGAAGGGGCTGTTTACTTAGAGTTGCAAGAATGTGGATGAGCAGGGTGGGGTGCTGATAAAGCACTCTGTTTTGACGCGCAGAAAATTTGAGATGCCTCCTGGTGTCCAACTGGGGCTTTGGGAGCGGTCAGGGCTGGGCATCTGACCCGGATGGACATCTCTGGCAGACAGCAGAGCATGGGGATGGTTCGTGACGCCCAGAAGGGTATGAGATTTCCTGTAGCAGTGCCCATTGCAAATAGAAGGGCATTTGGCCTGAGCCAAGGCATGTACAGGTTGGGGAGAGAAGGGGATGGGTCCCTGAGATCCGCAGAGGAGCAGCTATGGAGGGAGAGAAAAACTGAGTATGTGGGGTCACATGATGCAGGAAGCTCAAATAAGATGAGGAAAGAGATTTTAAAGATGATCAGGGCTCGGGACAGTGGTTCCTGCCTGTAATCTCAGCACTTTGGGAGGCTGAGGCAAGAGGATAGCTTGAGGCCAGGAGTTTGAGACTAGCCTAGGCAACATAGGGAGACCCCATTTCTATAAACAAATGAATACCATTGGTACTTGGCAATTCAGGTGAGGAAGAGCAAACACACAAAAGCTGTGAGGCAGGAAAGGGAAGTGATTAGCCCTGGCTCCTGCCGCCTTTATTAGGCGTTAAAGAGACACACACAGACATCTCAGATCCTCCTTGGCTGAGTTCCCTCAGGGAGGGCCCCAGTTTGGTTCTATGTCACTCCTTTTTTTCTGGAGACAGAGTCTCACTCTGTCACCCAGGCTGGAGTGCATGCAGTGGCCTGATCTCGGCTCACTGCAATCTCTGCCTCCCGGGTTCCAGCGATTCTCCTGCGTCAGCCTCCCGAGTAGCGAGTAGCTGGGTCTACAGGCACGCACCACCACGCTCGGCTAAGTTTTAGTATTTTTAGTAAAGACGGGGTTTCACCATCTTGGCCAGGCTGGTCTCGAACTCCTGACCTCAAGTGATCCACCTGCCTTGGCCTCCGAAAGTGCCGGGATTACAAGCGTAAGCCACCACTCCCGGGTCCTACTTCACTCCTAAGGCTTCCAAATGTTTGTGGAACGACTAAAAGATGCACAGTGGATGGGACTACGTGACTTCGGGCGGCAGGCAGTCCTGTTCTTTGGGCCTCAGTTTCCCTTTCTGTAAAGCAAGCCTGACTCTTGCTCTCTGCCCTAAAAGCCGGAGCTCTGGGCTTGAGATGAGCGCGTCCTGCTGAGCCAACACCAAGTGGACGATGAGCTGGGCCTTCTAGGAGGCGAGGATCTGGCTAGCTATGGGTCCCTCCCTCCCGCGGGACCCCGCAAGCCCAGCCCCAGCGCCGCCCCGCCCAGCCTTCCTTTGTTTCCCCAGGCCCCGCCCTCTCCGGGCAGCCCGCTCCCTATTGGCTGGGGGGCGGGCCCTGGGCGCGGCTCCGCTGGGGGCGGGGCGGCAGACGGCGGGCGGGGCTGTGTGCGCCTGCGCGGTGTCGGTACCGGCCGCAAGCTCGCGCCGGCAGCGGCTCCGCGAGCGGATCCGGAGCCCGAGCGAGGGACACGGGCTGAGGCTGAGGCTGCGGCCCCGCCCCGGGGCTCCATTGTTGAGGCGGCTGCGGCTCTGTCGGCTGCTCCGCCGCGCTCCATTCAGCCCAGGCGCGGCGGCGAGGAGCGAGCGCTGCGAGGCGGCGGCCTGAGGTGAGACCGTGCAGCGGGCGGCGGGGTCTCGGGCCGGGCGGGGGTCTCTGTCCCGGGCGTGGCGTGGCGGCTCCGAGCGGGGCTCCGCGGGGTCCGGGGTCCGGGTCCGGGGTCCGTGCGCCCTGGCTTTGTCTCGGCCTCGGGTGGCACCGGGGGCTCCGCGCCTGCTGCGACGCCGCGTGGGCCCGGCGGGTGGGGGCCCGTCCCCGCTGCTCCCCGCGACTGCCGCGGAGGGGACTGCATGGACCCGGGCGCGCGCTCCTGCCCGGTCCCCCGCGGGGTAGCTGGTCCCCGTGTGCCGCGGAGGAGACCCTGCGAGGAGCCCACTCGTGGGGCGGGGCCCGGGTCACCGCGAGTGGGAGGCTCCGCGGCCCGCCCCGCGCGCCCCCACGGCGTGGCTGCTTCGCCCGCGTCGCTGAGGGGACCGCGCGGACCCTCGGAGGTGGGGGTCCGTGACTCTGCGTGGGAGCTCTTTCCCGGCCCCCACGACGGCTTCCTGAGCGTTTTGTCACCTATGGGGACGCTGCGTGGACCCGCGCGCGTTGCTCCTGGCCGCCCTGCGAGTGGAGATCGCGCCGCCCCGTGGCTCGTTTGGGGCGACCCCGCCTGGGGCGCGCGTGTGCTGGGGGTCCGTGCGTGGGGGGTGCCGCTGCTGGGGGCGTGCTGCCCCCACGCCGTGATTTATCCTCTCACTTGCCCGGCGGGTGGAAGCGGGGGCGCGGGCCCGGGGCTGTCACGCAGTGGCCGCACCGCCCTCTGCCCTGGCGGGGGGTGGCGGGGGTGGGGGGGGGTCCCGGGGGCGCCGGGCTGTCACCGCGCGTCCCACCGCCGCGCTTCCTGCTCTGGCCCGCGGCTGGGCTCTGATTGGAGGGAGCAGAGCCCTTCTGCCCGGCGTTTCTTGATTTCTTCCGTTAGGAATGGGAAGGAAAAAAAAAAAAAAATCTGGAAAGCCAGATTGAACTTTGTAGCTGGAGAAACTCTCCCAAGAATTTGGCGGGCTGGAAAATGCGTTTGAAGCAGGAGCATCCACACCCACGGAATGAGGCCAAGGCAGTTACAGTTAGAGGTCAGATTTATGAGGGGAGAGCTGGGGTGAGGTCCGTGGGTGGGGAGACTCCGATCCCAGCCTGATGGAAAGACCTGATGCTGCCCCTCAGACGCTGTGTTTCGCAGACACCGAAGAAGAGGAATCACTCAGTGTATGCTTTGATCAAACTTTTGAAAAACCTGTTATGTCCCAGGAAGGAAAATCGAATTGGACAGTTTTCCCCTTTTAAGAGTGTTAAAGGTCCCAGAGACAAACAGCAGAAGGCTCAGGGAGCACGAATACCCCAACCTGAAGTTCTCTCTGAACAAGAGATGGTGTGTAAGGAACAGGCAGATGAGACAAAGCTGAGCCCGTCACCGCAGCTGCGGCTTCAAGCCCTCTAGCTGTCAAGCGAGCCCTTCATCCTTTGCCTTCTCCGCCCTCCGCTGTCCCAGGCCCCCGCTCTACCCCGCCTCTCCAGTCGTCAGCTCCTGCCGCCCCATTGCTGTGGTCTCTGTTAGGTGGCCCCCTTTTCTCTGAAGCTTTGCTTGTTCTCCTGAAGTGCTGTTCTTGAAGAGCTTATGATCTGCAAGGGCAGATGGGGTTTGGGCAGTACATGGTTAACTGTAGCACAGCTTGAAAAATGCTCTGATAGATGTGGGCAGGCACCGCTTGCGTGCGGGTAAATGAGAGGTCCTTTTTCAATACCATGAATCTAAGTATTCATGCTATTTTAAATCTGCAATTCTCTGACTCTCCAGAGGGTTTTTAGATTAATTTTTTTTTCGATTACGTCCTAGCGTTTGTTGCATAGTGCAGAGTACTTGAATAAAACTTAAGCGGGTCTGCTGGGAGCAGTGGCTCAGCCTGTAATCCCAGCACTTTGGGAGGTCGAGGTGGGCAGATCACTTGAGGTCAGGAGATCGAGACCAGCCTGGTCAACATGGTGAAATCCCACCTCTACCAAAAATACAAAAATTAGCCGGGCGTGGTGGCACGTGCCTGTAATCCTAGCTACTAAGGAGACTGAGGCACGAGAATCACTTGAACCCAGGAGGCGGAGGTTGCATTGAGTTGAGATGGCGCCACTGCACTCCAGCTGGGTGATAGAAGGAGACTCCGTCTCAAAAAAAAAAAACCAAACAAAAAAAAAACAAAAACAAACAAACAAACAAAAAAAAACCAAAACAAAACTGTGTCCGCGTCTGCCTCTGGAATTTTCCCGGAAGGCCACTCCTTCTGGGCTTCAGTTTTCTCACCTTTGAGGATCTTAAACTACATAATTTCTAAGAGTCTTTTCTGCCCTATACCTTTAATTATTTCAAGCAAATACAGCAGAGAAAAATTCTCTTAACAGCAGTAGTTTAAATCATGGAGACCTTTGAAAATGTGGATTCTAAAGTGGAACTTCCTTTTCTTTTTTCCTTTTAAACAAGTTTAGTTACAGGAGTATATACTTTATCTCAGAGTTAAGCAACTTGTTGGTAATGTCCTGTGTATTTTTCATAATTGTGTTTTATGTGCAGCTTTTTCCCTATATGCAATTCTTTTTTTTTTTTTTTTTTTTCTCATTAATGGAGTTGCTGAGGGGAGATCTTTTTTCCAGGAGCATTTTGTTGATCTTTTAAGTGTCATGTGAAGTATGTTCCAATCTCTTTAACATTTTATTTTGAAGAGTAAAATGGAAGTAAATGGAATTTTGAAAGTGCCTTGAGTAGATGTACTTGGTTTTGTGCAATAGGTTGAAGCGTAGTTTAAAATCACTACTTGTGGTCGGGTGTGGTGGCTCACGCCTGTAATTCTAGCACTTTGGGAGTCCGAGGCAGGCAGATCACGAGGTCCAGGAGATGGAGACCATCCTGGCTAACATGGTGAAAGCCCACATCTAGTAAAAATACAGAAGATTAGCTGGGCATGGTTGCACGTGCCTGTAATCCCTGCAACTCGGGAGGCTGAGGCAGGAGAATTGCTTGAACCCGGGAGGCAGAGGTTACAGTGAGCAGAGATCACGCTACTGCACTCCAGCCTGGGCAACAGAGACTCTCTCTCAAAAAAAAAAAAAAAGGAAGAAAAAGAAAAAAAAAATTACCACGTGTAAAAAACTGCATCACATGTTGAGTGACCTATAAAGATGCTCTAATTCTAAGGAGTATGGTAACTAGTTCTTTAAAATAGCAAGACTGGGTGCTGTGGCTTATACCTGTAATGCCAGCACTTTGAGAGGCTGAGGTGGGAGGATCACTTGAGCCCAGGAGTTAAAGGCTGCAGTGAGCTATGATCATGCCACGGCACTCCAGCTTGGGTGATGAAGTGAGCCCCTTTCTGTAAAACATAGAAAGGTAAATAAATAATCTAAAAATAAAATATTAAGTCCCTTTCCAATTGATCTGTTTGGTAAGGTGGGAATTCGATGTGCTCGAGTTTCTTAAAGCCACATTTCTCTGTAGAAAGGAGACAATTTTCTCTGCTATTCCTAGTTATTTGGATGATTATAGGGATTAAAAATAGCCATTTGGTCAAGTCGTGAGCTACTGAATTACAATTTTTGCTGAACTCAGTAGGATTTTCCTTTATTTTGATTTGCATTCTTATCTTAATTTAGAAAAAGTTCTTTGTTAGATGCTTCATATAACATATAAACATATGTAAAGTACTTTGTTCTTTTAGGGAATCTGATTTTAGGAGAGGGCTTCAAAACTCGACCAGATCTTCTTTATGGCTTTCTAGATTCTATTAATGTTTTAATAAAACTAACTAGTTAATGCTGCTTGGAGAAGACAGAGGCTATATTTTGAACTCTACATTTCAGATTTGTCGTCCCGAGCCCTGGCCTGGGGTCCCAAACAGAGAATGTAATTCATTCTTTCACTGAAGTATACTCCTTACTTTGATGTCATTGGTATGCTGTCCTAGAGATTTGCTGTGGCTGTGTGGAGTGTTTTAGGTAAGAACTGACCATCCTTCTCTTTTGTTAGATTAGGAGTCTGTCAACCCTCTTGTTGCCTTTATATTATTTGCCTGGAACAGGAAGGTCGGAGATAAAGTTTTCTTAGATTAGAAGTCGAAGTCTTTGGTATCTTCCTTCCCCTGTCTCCCATGTCACCTGCTGTTTTTTTGTTTTTCTTTGTTTTTCATTTTACTGTTTTTATTGGATAGGTGTCTTATTATTGCAGGCTACCTCAAGACATTTTTGGATACTGACAAGATATAAGTATGAATAACAGGTAAAAAATAACTTACTCTAGTTCTTTTGAGCAGAGGACTTGACTTTGATATGTGGCCCTGTTAAGGCTTTTGTTAAGTCCAAGTACTTTTCTGAACTTAGTTCCTTTACCTGTAAAATGGGGTTAGTTGTTAGTAATACCTGTTCTGCCTACTTCAGGAGATTGTTTTGAGGATCAAATGAAATCATGAATGTAGTGGAATTTCATAAATTTTAAATAAAACATTGTATTGGCAAAGATTTTTAAAAATTGCCTCCTTAAGAATTGAATGAATCTGGGTTTTCCTTTGAAGTCCCAAATGTTTAATGTAGAGAAGTCTTCATGTGTGTGCCGGGCAGCTTCATTAGGGTTGTCTTCTGTCTTTAATTGGCTAGTACTGTTTTATATTTAGCATTGGGGAACATCAAATTTGTGTTTCAGTGATCATTAATATTTTACACAGTTATTGAATGTATGTGATTTAGTCTTTAACAATCTCTTCAATTATTTACATTCCCATGTAAAAAATGAAGTCATGAGTGTTATTTCTCATGTAAATAACATTCCCATGCTTTAATGAAGCATCATTTCTTGACATTTCAGTTTCTCAGTGCCCTGTCTTGAGGTTGGGAAAGCTAAAGGGCAGTCAGAGGTCAAGGGCAGCAAAGCATCATCTTTAACCTTTGAAATCCAGCAGCAGGCATCACAGTGAACCCCACTCCAGCACCTTGCTCTGCACCTGCCTCCCCTCCCGCCACCTCAGAAGCTGT